CGGTAAATCTAAACTAAAACACAATACCCCACTAGACGCGCATAGGATGCAAGAACACAACGGAGAAGATTTTGAGGTAGGAGTCACTATCCTTACGCAGGAATCGAAAACATCAGCGCGAAAAACTCTTGAAGCGTTTTGGATCAATGCCAAAAATTCAAAAATGAACCGCAAGGAGGAGTGTCTTGTCATCACGCGTGACCTAGCGCCATACCTCAGGCTGATCCAATGATCTGACATGGACCCAGTTATCGACCATGTATTACTCTGTGCGGCGGCTATCCACCAACTAACTTAAATACTTACAACAAATAAACGGTAGGTGTTTGAATGAAGCTGTTTCTTATGCGAATACAAATCGATTTATCAAGTTTTATCTGCTAGGGTTATGAAAGTGTTTGGCTGAGTAGATCGCATCTCAATTTGACCTTTCCAGGCTCTGAAGAAGGCGAAACCGCCGAAACGTCAGCAATTGTGTTCTAATAAATTCTATATTAACAACCTCGTGTCTGCTTATTGATGAAAAACATTGAATTATAAAATAAATAGGAAGTTTTATACGCGATCCGTGAGAAATCTGGATCTGTTTAGCAAACTCGTGCCGTGCCGTGCCGAAGTGAAACGGTGGGCATTAATCATAACAAAATGGTGGTATTTGTCTTATTTGTCTCTTTCAAGTCATTATAGTGAAAAAACAAGCAGAGTTTATGATTTTTTGAACATATTTTTTCATCAGAACACAAAGGATAAAGCGACGTCTGGTTTTGGTGTACCCCTGAACGATGCAGCATATCTCACCTGACCTAATTCACAGTGGACGGGAAAAGTCGTTTGGTGGTGATCAATCTTTTTGGAATATGCCAATTATTCGATTCCATTAATCACCGTGAAGGTGATTAAATGGCCTATACAGTAAAGTGGTTTTCTACCGATGTATCAAGCCTGCCCTGCTATCTTCCTAGGCAAATCTGGTACAAAAATAGCGATTAAGCAGTGAAGACTAGGTTATTCTGGTAATCGAAGCACCATGGCCATATGGGTAATTGTTAGCATCGCCAACCGACACGCAACACGCACTCATGATCCAAATCATGTGGTATAGAAAGCGCCATATCGGAGTCTTTAGGCTTAAACCTCGTAAGATTTCCACTACGGAAGTGGCTATGGCCGTCATAGTAATATGCTGTTTCGCTTCAATTCACCCGAGAAGTTCTTATACCGATTTTTCAGGCTCAGCTGTAGCGAGACATTGGGCGTTCGGTTCGTCGACACCTCGAGATCTCGCCCACATGACGGCCATTTCCACTGCACAACGCATCTATGACGCTAAATCGCCGAAAAAAAGCACAACATCACCGGAGTTCACAACTCCAGTGCGCAAACGTAGTACAACAGGTTTGGCTGAAAACGCATGAAGTTAGCGATATTATCTGAATTGAAGAATGCCACTCCGCGCAGATCATACATATCGATTAGTCGCTTTCCTGCTTGTCGCATTTTGCCCATAGTATTTCTGCAGTGTATTTATTTATATGATCTTATAAACTGATCTTCTTAAGCTGACGCGAGGTTGGTACAGTTCTTCGTTGTCTTTGTCGTTGTTTTCGATGTTGTTGGTCGATGGCTGACGTTTCGGCGACTTAGCCTTCCACACAGCCTGGACGTATTTCATATTAGAGTATTCTTATTATTCGGTGGAAAAAAGGCTAAAGTATTAATGAAAATCAAACTTCCAAATAGATGCCATATTGAACAGAAAGGCCACTCACCGTGATGTTACGAGTGGAACTGGCCCACGCGGGGTCGCGAGCAAGACACACCCCGGGGTCAAAATATCATTTTGAAATAGGGTTCCAGGTCGCGTGAACTCAGGAACTTAGTGAGGCATTCGTCTTTTTGGTTCATCTATGGATTTTTGAAATTTATTCAAAACTCTCCAAGAGTTTTGCACGTTGATGTTTTTGATTCCTGCGCTAGGATCCGCACAGTCACTTCAAAATCGTTACCGTTGTGCTTTTGTCCCCTATGCGTACCTAGAGGAGTGTTTAGACGGATTTTAGCTTTCCCATGTAGATGTTCTTTTATGCGGACACAAAGCGGTCTACCCGTTCCCCAATATATTCCTCGTCGCATGCGTTACATGAGATCAAGTATATTATGCCTAAACTCATGCAATCCCAGTGTGTCCCGTTAGGACAGATCATACAGTTTTCTGAGCTGTACAAACGATCATAGAGACGGTTTCCAACTAACAACGGCGTAGGGTATTGGGTGGGATGTCAATAATCGTTACATAATTTTTTAAAAACCCTGAAATAAACTGCGCACCAAGCCCATCCAGGGTTACTGTGCTAGTAGGTATAACGCTTCCGGAAAATGTGCGTTCCTTGTTAGAATGGGGTCCGAGTTTTGCACCTAGTCAACTCATTTCTAAACCAATCCTGCGCAGGATCACGTGCAGTCTACATGAACCTCAAGATCAGTTACGTTACAGGGTTAAGCTAGAAAGGTTAGGTAAAGTAGTACCAAGGGAGGAGCTACCACCAATACCTTTTTTCCCGAACTTTCTTTAAACAAGAGCTACCAGATAGCGATATTGACCCGCCATTTCGTTTATTTTCGGATGAAATTCTCCGCATACTTAATCACTACCAAAAACGAAAAATAAGCTCCAACCTCACACACCAACAAAAATGTGGTATGCGCCAGGTTAGAGAGCTTTTGAATTCAAAATCTGTTAGACTTCATATTAGTGATAAAGGTGGAGGATTTGTAGTTATTCCTAGTCAGTTGGATGCTAGGATAACAGAGGAGCACCTCAATGATGTTTCTCTCTATCGAACATCCTCTGAAAAGGAATATAGAAACCAATACCGAAAACTAAATCAAGAATGGGTCAGCACGGCAAAGGCCGCGGGTTTAGAGCCTTCAGTTATTTCTCGACTTAAAAACGAGCATCCAATTTGCCCTGACCTTTACTTGCTTATTAAAACACATAAACTTACTTCAATTGATGATATTACATCAACGAACCCATCATCATATAAAGTTAGACCTATTATCAGTTATATAGGCGGGCCAACGGATAGAATAACGTGGTTCCTAAACCTTATCCTTACCCAGCTGCTAAAATTCATTCCAGCCCATCTACCTAACACAGAAATATTTCTAGACCACCTACGGCGCGCGTAACCAAACAGCACGCATGTAATGGAGTCATTCGATGTTACGTTACTTTATACCAACGTGTCGAATGACTCCTCAATGCAAGCCATTCTCGAGTTTCTTGTAGAGCATGAAAAAAATAAAAATGTACGCCTTGTCGACTGCGCAACTAATGACTCTCTTAAAACAGTGTCTTAGTTGTTCAGTCTTTAGGTGGTCTGGGAAATATTACGCGCAAATTAGAGGGTTGGCAATGGGACAGCGACTGGAACCAAGCTTTGCCATCGCTTTCATGTCCAAGGTGGAACCTCCAGTTCTCGATCACCGGCCCTTACTCTACTGTCGATACATAGACGACTGCTTCATCGTCTGTTCCACACACGAACAAATGGATGAGTGCTTTGAATTGTTAAACCGACAGTCAGAGTATATGAAATTTACACCAGAAAAACCAACCGAAAACTGACTTCCATTCTTAAACATTCAAATAAAGCTCTCAGTATGTGGCTATATAACAAAATGGTATCGTAAGCCAAGTGACAAAAACATTCTAGTTCACTACGTCTTATCTCATCCTTCACACATGAAAAAAACACTTATCAAAAACATGTACCGTGCGACTAAAAATGTGTGTACAGCAGAAGAGGAAAGGAAGGAATCGCAAAACCTGGCACGAAAAATTGGCATTTCGAATGGCTACGAAGTAGAAGCCAATCGGGTTAGACAAAAACGTAGGGTAGTTCCCCAAAATAATCTTTGGGACTAAGTAAGATCTCTTTTAAGCTACCCTTCATATCAAATGAAGTAAGTTACGCCATTAAGAGATGCTTAAGAAAAAGTGGTCTTGAAAATTATATAACGATTATTGACATCCCACCCAATACCTTACGCCGCCAGTTAGTTCGAAACCGTCTCTATGATCGTTTGTGCAGAAAACTGGATGATCTGCCCTAGCAGGAGAGACGGGGATTGCAAGAGTTCAGGTATAATATACTTGATCTCATGTAATGCATGCGGCGAAGAATATATCGGGGAAACGGGCAGACCACTTTGTTTCCGCATTAAAGAACATCTACATGGGAAAGTTAAAATCCGTTTAAACACTCCTCTAGGTACGCATAAGGCACAAAAGAACAACGGCAACGATTTTGAAGTGACTATGCGGATCCTAGCGCAGGAATCAAAAACATCAACGCGCAAAACTCTTGGGGAGTTTTGGATAAACTTCAAAAAACCAAAGATGAACCGAAAAGACTAATGCCTCACTATCACACGTGACCTGGCACCCTATTTAAAAATGGTATTTTGACCCCGGGGTGTGTCATGCTCGCGACCCCACGTGAACTACTACGTGTGGGCCAGTCCCACACTTAACATTACGGTGAGTGGCTTTTGTGTTCAATATGGCGTCTATTTGAAAGTTTGATCTTCATTAAGACTTTAACCTTTTTCCCACCAAATAATAAAAATACTCTAATATGAAATACGTCCAGACTCTGAGGAAGGCGAAGTCGCCGTAACGCCTGCCATCGATCAATAACATCAAAAACAACAACAACGACAACAAAAACGAAGACCTGTACCAACCTTGCGTCAGCTTAAGAAGATCAGTTTATAAGATCATATAAATAAATATATCAACCATCTATGCCGAGGTTTATAGAAAGTCGGTCTTTCCAGTTATTTCTGCAGTACATGTTTCGATTATCTGTAGACTCTTAAGTAAAGTAGTGTTGCATTTATTTTATCCAGCTTTTCCTAACTATTGTTCAGTAATTATTGATTAGGGGCGGATAGCACAGTGTTAGTAGTGTCAATCATCATGGGCACGGTGTTGGTTCGATCCCTCTTCGGCTCACCGAAACTCTTATCCCTCGGCGGTTGGGAAATTGGTGCCAGACTTTTCTGAGAAAATTCCACTCTCTGAAATCTAATTGGAAACGCTCTAGCCAGGCTATCCCAGGACTCCAGTAAGAATCGACTGCACCAGCATTCTACAACATTCAAGTTGAAATGAAAATCCTTAAGCAGCAGTCGAATGGAAGATGTATGCGAGAAAGCGAATCGAATGAAAGATGTGCTGGGATCCGCACAGCAGATTTGAAAAACGGACGGTGTAAAGAAAAAATTATTGATCAGCAAACTTGTAACGTAATCATTTGTTTTCGTCATATAGCTGCTAGTGTGGTAAAAGGATAAAAGGACGAAGCTCTCGGTCTTGATCAATCCCTGAGGGATGCGCCATGTGTTCGACTTCATTAAGTATCGTTGGAGGTGATTGAATGCATAACTGGCCTCTACAATGACTCGCGGTGGCCTACCGATGTATCGAGCCAGTGCTGCTATCATCCTAGACAAGTCTGGTATCAATTTACCGACCCAGGATGGATGGAAGGCTTGGTGGGCCATGGGCGCAGAGATCTATTCGACGTGTGTGTGTGTTGCAGGGCGTCTACGACCACTGCTCCACCAGCGTCCCACTACTGTGGTAAATCTGATAAAGGTAGAAATATAACGAGAATCCTTCCCAGTAACGTCATACATGCAACAGTGTGGAGAGGTCATATTAAGCAAAGACTTTTAGCAAGCATAAATGAGCTAATATTGAAATCATAACTGCATTTAATGAGAGGCAGTTTTCCAATACGAGAGGTATAAGATATTGATCTAATAGATTTCCTGAGAATTTACCATGATTTGGATTCAAGTTACTTTACTGTCGTTGTTCTACGCAATATTGATTCCCCTTGAGGATGCTGATCCCGGACTTGCTCTTTCGGAAGTTGCGTTTGTACTTTTGAGAACGCAAATTCCTTCGTTGACGATGAGCAAGTGGGACGACTTCCAAAACAAAACCATATTTTGCTACTAACTTAAGTGTTTTTATTCTATTGTGGCACGCTGTGGTGAAATAGAACAAACCATATTTTTCTGGAACACCGGCAGATTTTCTACACTAGTGGTTTTGAAAGAAATATCAGGTCGAACATCTTCTCATTCGTCTGAAACGCAGCCTTTTCCATTGAATAGTTGAGTTCGAGCGAGTAATTTCTAGCTTACTTTGATATTTACGTGGCTAGTCTTCATAGTTCGTGCGAACCTTAAGATTTCCTTCATTCGATTCGTTGTCTTGCAACCACCATCCACAGAGATGATCGGATTTGCTTTAGGAAGTAGCTGGTGCTGAATAGTCGTTTTCTGTCCTATTTGGCATGTTCAACAGTGAATGAACATATTTTGCACTGGAATTCAAATACCCTTACCATGACGTCCCCAGGCTTTCATTATGGTCGCCTCACGTATGGATTCAAAAGAATTGTACTGCCTGCTACTGAGATTCTTTTAGAACTCAGCGAATCCTACGATTAGTCCAATGACCTCTCGAAGACGACTTAATAAGGCGGATTCAGTATAAGTAAATGCTTCGTCTGAGTGATGAGTCGCTGATCATTTTTTACGTATGTAGTCATGTGTATCCCTAAATGCTCCATCTACATAAATCTGAAGAAAGAAAAAAACAAAACAAAACGTGAGTGCTATCACAACTGGAATCGTTTTGTTTTCTTGCAATCATCGTCCATACAAGCTTTGTTCATGATGAAGACTGGGTGTATCGCACTTCTTTATTCAGAAGTTTTATGGATAGAAGTATACCTGACTTACTAGGCACCAAACAGATCCGTCAATCTTAAGGTTGGTGCTCCTGTGGGAAAATCAACGCCTTCCTGTGGACCAATTACTACTATGCCTCGTACATGTGTCGTTGATACTTCTCACTAAATTAACTATAAACAGTACTTTCCTTTTGTCTCCTCACCTCCTCATCACCTTCATTTCGAATCACTTCGGGAAATCGGAGAGTCATTCCTTACAATAACACTCTTCTGCAACTTTTGTGTTATATCTTCTTTCACGTTTATGTATGAGACGTCTTTTCCGCACATTTTATTGTTTGTCAAGATACAGTTATTCATGGATTGTTTTTATGACTTCAGTCTACTACATATTAATTATTCTATTATATTAACTTCACCAGGCACCACTAAACTCTTTTCGTCTCCATTGCGTACTGGATCTGCCAAGCAGCTTTCGGTTGCTCAACGGATACGAAGAGTACCACATCGTTTAATGATGCTCTCTGCTTTTACTGTTTTTTGGGAAAAGATAGTTACGAGTAGCTCGTTGTACTCTATCGTTGGATAGGTTTCCTCTAAACTGCGCTTCCTAATAGAAATTTCAAACACCTTTACAAAGTTTTCTGGGTAGGGGGTGGATAGAACACTACAGTAGTTCGACACACAGAAACATTATCCATTCGAGATGGGACAAGAGACCTTTGAAGGGAAAAACGAAATAAATGTAACGTCTACAGCATCAGTATAACAGTTCCAGCGCCCCAGCCAATCCATAGAGTGGCGGCACCAAGTCCACCCAAACCGTTTGAGGAAGACGCAGCATCAGAGCCGGATTTCGTTCAGGTGAATCATATTAACCATTTAATTTCTACTTTACCATCGAATCGACAGTTCTACTTAATTAGAAGGAAAGATCTTGGATTGTCAAAGTATTCCCTAAATTCTCCTCTAGGACCGAGAGGAATTACTCAGCGAACTTCGAAAGAAAAAGGTGATAGTGACTTCAAATAAGGAAATCGATAAGAAGACAAATGGAAAAGGTTCTCGAGGTCAAGTTTCTTTACTTTTATTACATATAGCAAGCCTACGAGATTAAATTATCCACAAAAAAACAATACCTGTAAATAACCATTTTTCCTATTTTTCAGACATTCGACTGATTGTGTTAATGAGAAAAGACTTATCGATTAAGGAAAATCAATTTTTGAGCTATCAGATGACGTCATGCCCTAAGATTTTTCACATTATAGCTGCTTCCACTTCCTTTTTACGTAGACCTTATTTCTTGTTTCGGATTCCAAAATATCTTGGAATAAACACTTTTCAAATGGATCCCATAAGGTTTTTTTGAAAAAATACGACTTCTCAAAAAATTTCCTTTGCTCTAAAATTTCAGTATCCTCTACTGGGAGATGTCTCAATTTTTGCCTTCACTCGAAAAATCGAAAAAATCCATAGAATTCGCGGATGTTTTTCATCCACAAAGACTCATCGCGGTCAAATCCTTCCTCTTCTCCCAGGCATCCGTGGATCTTCGTGGAATCCAAAATGTGGTGACATGGCTTTAGAAAAAACCAGAAATAATACAAAGATCGATTCCAGATAAGTCGAAAACACGGGCCGAACCGAACAAAACGAAAATCGACGAGACTCCAGGCTTCACTCACGCTGCCGGTAGGCTACTTTTCCGACCGGTTTCCGAAAAATGAAAATAACTGACTTCTCTTTTCTGATGGCCATTTTTCTTAACTCAATCTTTAATACCGTGGTTGTCGTTAGACTTACTTTGAAGTCCTGGTTTCCTAAATTCCATATAGATACACATAACAGACCGTGTGAGGCATATATGACTCACATTGTCAGCAGTGTGTCAGTGGTCGGCGACCAACTGTGGTCATTTATACGTTTTCAGCAAAACGGAATTTCATATTGATTTTTCAAAAAAGAATTTTTTCCACATGAATCTTAACGACTTACTAAATTCGTAATAACACTTAATGAATGGAACTCTTTTGTGAAGGATGTTCCAACCTTTTTTTATTCTTGGCCTAAGTCGCTGAGTGAATCTTATTGTCATCTAAATAATATCATTTCCAATTCTTTTTCTTCGGTCAAGGCGATACGATTTCCAGGTATTATGGAGTGACTTTTGACTGTTTTATAAACTGTTATCAATGTGCAGCATATACTTGGATACTTGGACGCCCCTCCTCACTGGATGTGTGGGGTGGGCCCCAGTATAATCTCCATTTTTCAGAGTTTTGCTGATTTAGCCATGATGTTTGCCCGGAGTCCCCGGGTCAGGCTGGCCAAAGTGTGCTCCAAGTCGTGTTACCACCACAGTCAGTTGCCGCCCTTGTGGATCAGAGGGAGATTTGCCACAATGCAACTAGTTTGATACCAGGACGGTGGTGGGATCCTGGTTTCTGTTTACTCTTAACTGGACTTCCTGATAAAAACATAGGACTCTTCAGCTTGCGAGACCCTACTAGGGAGATGAATCACCCAGCCGTACATTGCAGCCCAACACGCAGGACCACCTCTTAGCCACGATGAGGCGGTAAACCGTTGTGAAGATTAAAAATAATACCAAAACAACTATATAGACGTGAAGAATAGTTCGTCTTAAGTCATTATAGTGCCACAAGACAGCGGAGCCAATATCAAATACCATTATGAAAAGAGAAGGAATAGATCAAGGATAAAAAATATGTTCCAGTTCTCGTTTCTCATTCTCATTTCCAGTGTTCACGCTGTCTGCACTGCTATCAATAAGGAAAGCTTTGGATATTTAAAATTAAATGTTCACTTAACAATATTCTCGTCTTACCAGTCCCTACTCACTCTCGCAGGTTATGCTTACATGCACTTCATGACTACCTCGTTCCAACCTCCGTGATTACTGTAATACGAGTATTCACTACCACAAAATTCGAGCCACTTTCACTCACAGAGATATTGCCCCCATCAAAAAGTATGCTTTGTTTTTCAATTCCTTTAAATTTCACAGGGGCGCGTGTAGAGCAGTGGTCGTAGGCGTCCTGCAATACACATGGGATCGTCTCCTGCGCCCCAGACCCACGAAGCCTTCCTTCCCTCCGAGGTCGGCAAATTGGTACCATACTTGTCTGGGAGGATAGTAGCAATGGCTTGATACATCGGTAGGCCACCGGGAGTCACTGTAAAAACCAGATACCCATTCACTCATCTCCAACGATGCTTAATGAAATCGAATTCACGACGCATCTCTCAGCGATAGATCAACGCCAGGAGCTTTACCCTTTATCCTTTATTTAAATTTCGCGAAACCATATTGCTTCGTCTCCACTTCTTTCCGAGTTCCCATTCTCAAGCTACAACCGTTGAGTCAGTATTCTTTTTTTACCGTACTAAATAAATTCAAAGGTATTCTCCAAATTGATTCACCTTGAGATCTGTGCGAATCCCATTTAAAATGAAAAACACTTCTACATACAGTTCCGCCGCTATTGTAAAATATTTCAGAACTCCCAGCAGAAGTTCGCACCACCGAGCGAATCCCAGAAAACCTACATGAAGAGGAAAGTGTCACGGTACGTGCTAATACCACACGAGGGCTGAATGATCAAGTAAGAATGTAAATTGTATGCTTACGTTTTGAACAAGAGATAAGGTTTCTTTGGTGCTGATGTTGCACACTGTTTTCTTGATAACAAAACAAAAAGTTGTTAATAGCAAGATATATCCAGTACGGTACTGGCGTACGGTACTGACTAACGGTTCGGTAACTTAGCCTTCTTCTCAGCCTGGAATAGAGGAAGACTCTAGTTGGATTGGGTATCAATTTCACTCTTCCAGGCTCTGAAGAGGGCGAAAACGCAGAAACGTCAGCCAGAATTGTATTGAATAAATCTAGCTGTTGACAACCTCGTGTTAGCTGATCAAGAAAACAGTGTATTATTGTTCAATGCCAAGGTTAAGAGAAAATAAGTCATAGGATAGGAATAGAATCTGCTACATAATGTTGCACAGTTACACTGGTGCAGAAACTTTGTTTTTTGCAATTTCCTTTTAAGCGTGACAAAAAAAGGATCCCAACCGTCTACTTTCACTAATAGATGTGCTTTGTTTCTTATGAAAGTCTTACAGATCATTGTTTCGGAGCTCACTGAGGAGAGGAAAGACAAGGAAATTGTCCTCGACAAGGATGGTGAACAGAAATTCGATAAAAACGTTGAGGATAAGGCGAAGGAGATCCTTAGAAAAGTGGAAGATGTGTCTGCAAGCACTACTGCTCACATCAAGGTATGGTGAAATGGTGCGGAGATTAGAAGTCCTGGAATTGAGAGTGATCGAGAAGAGGAAGCAAACGTCTCAGGAGATTAGGAGTAGGGAACTTGGGCACTGGATTTACAATTCATATTGACCGAAGGCCGCTTTGAATTGTACCCCTGTATTAAACATTAATGAGTGGTACAACGTGTTTAGGACATTCGCGACAATATGAGCCATGTATGATTCCAACCGTTAACGATCTCGTTTCGCCAAACTACTTTAAGGAAATATTTCTTAACTCGTAGTGAACTTTAGTGAGTCAAATAAAGACCGTAAGAATTTTCCAAATAGGCGCAAGTTCGCTTACCAAGGCGATATTACAATTTATTGGTTCTGCAAACCACCTTTTTGCCATCGAACTTTTAAAAGCAGAGTACTTGATGCGTCATGCATTCGACTTCATTCAGTACCGTTGGAGGTGAATGATTGAATATCTGGCCTTTACAATCACTTGCGGTGGCCTACCGATGTATCGAGCCTGTGCTGCTATCCTCCCAGTCAAGCTTGCTACCAATTTTCCGACCCCGGAGGGATGGAAGGCTTGGTGAGCCGTTGGTGCGGGGACCGATATCGTGCCGCAGTGACCCTGTCGACCACTGCGCCACACGCGCCCTGAAAATCGGAATATACTGGAGAAATCAGGTCGATATGTAAGGTGTCATCTACGAGCCTGCTAAGTCCTCAGACCTTCAAGAACTTCATGGGAAGCATTTGAAGAAAAATTGGCGACAATTATAAGAAAATCGGTATTGTAGCGAATGCGGCAAGGTCTCTTTGTGTAAAAAAAATCTTGAAAGAAAATCCGAAGCATTTCGAATTATTCGGTCTCGAAAGGACTACAGTTCCTGAGTTCCTTAAGTCCTTTAAGAGTTTTGTAGTATTATTAGCTGTACATTTTAATATTAAGGACTTCGCTAAAGACATGAAAGCGGCCGTCGAGGACATCGTCGCTCAAAAAGAGTCGGTTACGAAAGATGTGGAGAAAGTATTGGACAACACGAACGACATCGCCATGAAGAAAGCCGACCAGCTGATCTCAGGAGCATCCGATTTAGTCGCGAGGATCGACTCTACTCTAAGTGGCGGCGTGTCCAGAACGGAGAACGCTGTTAAATCTGCTCAGCCTGAAAATTTGGAAGAACTGAAGGGAGAGAATAACTCCAGTCACGAATCCAAGGAGTCAAGAAAGTTGATTATCAGCGACATGTCTACGAAAATGTAACCATATATGAATAATGTTCGTGTCTTCTTATGGCTGATATTGTGTTAGGATTTCCTAGCATGCTAGTGTACAACTTTACATCTTACTATAATATGATTGTTATTGAGCAAAAATAACTTTCATTAATTTGCTAGTTTCTTTGTTTACGGTAAAGAAAAGCTCTTGATTTCTAGGATTCCCACTTTAAAGAGCGATGACTGTCTCATCTTTATGGAATGAACATCTTACCGTGACGAATGGTCCTGTCATAACTTTTGCTTCAAGCAGTCATAATCAAATAATTTGGAAATCCACGTGAATACCAAGCAGCTGTCATGATAAACGCAACGAAGAGTCTTGAAAGCAACGATCAACTAGTAGGTAGTTCAAAGGTAAAGTTTGGAATAAGAGAACGCCTACGACGTTGACGGATATTCACTTCTGCTGGAACACTTACTTGGATAGTTGGATGGCTTGTCTGCATTAATTGTATGGGCCCCAGCAGAATCTCCACTTTTTCGGGGTTTTTCTGGTTTAGCCATTGTACTTCCCTAGAGCCCTGAGGTCAGCCTAGCCAAAATCTGCCCCAGGTCGTCACCACCATAGACAGCCGCCGCACTTGTAGATCAGGAGGGGATTTGCCTCTATGCGAATAGTTTGATACCATGACGATGTTGGATCTTGATATTGGTTTAATCTTAGCTGTGCTTCCTGATGGAAACACCGGACTGCTTCTCAGCTTGGGAGACCCTCCAGGGGGAATGAATCCGCTGCACATCGCAGCCTGATACCCAGGGACACCTTCTAGCCAAGATGAGGTGGTAAACAAGAAGACTTCTGATGGAATAAGTTCTATCATTTCGGATTTGTTTTGAGTTGAATCTCCCAATAACTCCGATTGGAAACCCATCATGCACTGACATAATATTCGCTCAAATCTAGTGTCTAGTACAAATCATGTTCCTTTACTGGGCTTCCATTGCTAATGAATGAAAAGGAAAATAACGGTCAAGTCCTTAATGAATCCGCCTTTAATTAAAACGTGACTCACTACCATGCTGTCACAATGAATTGCAAATTTATGCAGCACAATCGTATTATATCTGCCAGATAAGTCATCGAAACTTGATATGAACACTGTTTTTCATAATGGATTGTTCACTCTGTTTTTGATACCTTACATAGTAATCAGGTAGTTTACACCTTTTCTCCTTAAAAATAAAACATCCGGCGCCAACCCCAGCAGCAAAGTCACCCTGAGCATTGGACGCCGCACCCATGGCCAAGCTGAAAGCAAAATTGCCGAACAGCTCCCAAACAATATCTTTCACATAAATCTTATAGCTCGTATAAGAATGATTTAAAATAGAACAGATATCTACGCATGAAACAAACAAATACAAATCAATATTCTTCTCTAGATATGTAGTCCAGAAAACCGCTTTAAAAAGACGAAATCCTTCGTCTGTAAAATTGAAAGCACCCCCAAAGGTCTACTGGACAAACAGAAAACCAACACATCACATTTCTTTGCGAGATTTAAAAATCAGAGCCTAGTGTTAAAACGTTCTACTAAGCTAGTAGTTGTTGTTAGAGAGCTTTCATGAACGCTCTTTATTATTTGGTGCTAATAAAAACTTTTGCATACACTACTGTCTCAACGACAACATAAACTAAACATAAAGAGAAAAGACGACTAGCGAAGTTTAAGCTGAATGAGTGACCCAATGAATGACAGAGATAAAGTGAGTATTGTACACGCAGTATGGAATTAAACCTCAATCAGAAGCGAAAAAAGCCACTTTAAACTGTTGAAGACATATCGATCAGTTAAAGATCTAATGAAAAACACAATTAAAGAGTAAGCTGCAAGTTACAGTCAAGTCCTGGTCTCACACGAATCGATGCTCAAATCCAACAACCACTCTTTGACAACAATCTTATGAGCTCATCTTGATTGTCTACCGATTTGTGCTTATACCCATTAAACAGTATTGCTGAGCAAACCTTTAGGAGAGTAAGTGCATGTTCGGTAGCATTGAATTCACATCATTCACCCAAAGATTAGCGCACTCCGAGTGGTACGTTTGTCCACCAAAGTACACAGCATTCGATACCGGTTGGCAGCATATCGCGCAGTGCCTTAAATTTAAGAAAGAAACGTTCACGTCATGACCTATAAGGTAACAGATTCGTGGAATTTCATTGACAGAAACCACTACTACTGTTCTATTTGTATATCTGCTAAGGCAATGAATGCTAATCACAACCTACATACTTCCGTTAGATAGCCAGTCCTCGGTGGTTTTGCGGACCCCAGCATAATTTCATCTTTTTTGGAGTCTTGCTAGTTTAGCCAATGTGGTTCACTGGATTACCTGGAGTCCGGAGGTCAGCCTAACCAAAGTCTGTACTAGGTCGTCACCACCACCGGTAGTTGCCGCCCTTGTGGTTTAGAGAGAGATTTGCCATCATGTTGCTAGTTTAATACCAGGACGGTGGTCGATCCTAATATTGGTTTTCTTTTATGTGGGCTTCGTAATGGAAACGCTGGACTCATTCTCAATTTGGGAGGGATGAGTCCTGCCGCTGTACATCGCAGCTCTAACCTAGGAACACCACCCAGTCACGATAAGGCCATAAGCCGTTTAGAGGCTTATACAGAATCAGATTTTCTGCAAGGATATAAAATATAGCTAATTTCTACCAAAGAAAAATGAATAAGACTGCCATTGTGCGATCGACGCCTCTCACACTCACTGTATGATCGTTGTGAAGAACTGTTATTCATACTACTTGAACAATGTTGTAAGACCGCATTACACGATAACTGCATGGATACTTGCCCATTACTCTATGAAACAAGGGATGCAATTTTAGAGGACAACTCAGAAGTTGAAGTTTCGATAATAAAAGAATGTTTACGCACTTTCCAGAGTTTTCGTGACATTTGTCCTCTTCTTCGGATCCTTCCATGAAACTGCTCAATCGTTTCCATATTGTACGGCATGTCGTTATTTCGTCCAGGCATCTTCTCGGTAAGTCAATACCAGCTGAGCGTTCCACCCGACAAATGACGAAATATAGACGATTTAAGCATCTGAAATGATTAAGATCACTTAGTTCTGACGAAAGCATAGTTTAAGAAATTCTGAGAATAGTGCGGTAACAAAAACTGTGCTACAAATACATCTTATAAGAGCCAATAATAAAGCTAAAAAAGCTGATAAAGCCGTCGGCGTTGATCAATCTCTTAGGGATGAGCCATGCATTCGACTTCATTAAGCATTGTTTGGAGGTGACCTATCGTCCCAGGCAAGTGTACTACCAATTTGCTAACCTAGGAGGGATAAAAGTTTGATGTGCCTGAGGTACGAGGACTGATCCCACGTGTATTTTCAGGGAGCTCCCGACCGAATACTGCGCTACACGCGCCCACAAGAGCCAATTGCAACCTTAAGAATAACTTATAGAGATTATGTCGTTTGAAAACCACGAACTTTTCACAAATAACATTAAAATGATCATTAAGAAACAAGTAGGTCCATTGGTTGTCTTTTAATGCCAACTTTAAAAAATACGATCAATGACTTTTGGCTAAACAATTAAGTTCCCAAGATCGACTTTCTATTAACCTCGCCATTGGAACATGAATGCGTCGTTTTCTTGTTCAGCAATCGCGAGGCTTTTAAACAGCATACATTTACTTCCACAGAGAAACACAATACAATACAACACTAGCTGACGTTTCGGCAGTATCGTCTTCTTCAGAGACTGGAAGAGTATACTGATATACAATCTACTAGGCCAAACGCTTGAATAACACATAAAAAGACGAAAAACTCTATGGTAATTACATGATCAATAGCTTCTCGAAAAACTCACCGCTTTTTACGTGACTTCCAATGAGGAAGTTTAGAACAGCCGATTATAGTCGCATACGGATGATGCCTGCACCATCCCACATCAGAAATTGATGCGAACATACGGGGTCAGGTCGCGTATGATCTCCGGGCATTCATCCCTGCTATTCATTGTAGGGTTTTTGGCATTTATTCAAAAAGCCTCAAGGAGTTTTCGCGCTGGTGTTTTGGACTCTTGTACAAGGATATCGACTTTTACTTCAAAATCGTCTCCGCTATGCTTTTGTATCCTATGCGTGCCTAGTGGGGTACTTCGTCCTAGTTTTCGTTTGTCATCTAGGTGTTCTCTTAGACGGATACACCACTCGACTAGTTTGATACTAGGACATGGTGGATCGCGGTATTGTTTTACTGCTAGATGTGCTTCTTGGTGGAAACGCCAGACTCCTGAGCTTGGGAGACTCTGCCGGAGTGATGAATCCACCCGCTGTAGATCGCAGCACAAAACTCAGGTACGCCTTCCAGGCAAAGGCAATCGATACCGATTCCTCTAGACCTGCCCTTCTTAAGCATCGTTTAATAGCTACGCTTACTTCATCGCTTGTAAAAGGCAACATAAACTGGACTTTCTTCTGGCCAAGTGTTTCGCGTGGGCGCGTCGTTCACCGTGTGCACTACCCGGGAACTAAAGGAAGAATCGTGAGACTTGGCTTGGCAAATAGTCATCTCCAATGGCCACGAAGTAGTAACCCCACGAGAAAAGTTTAGAAGGGAAACGACGCGCCCACGCGAAACACTTAGCCAGAAGAAAGCCCAGTTTATGTTGCCTTTTACAAGCGATGAAGTAAGTGTAGCTATAAAACGATGCTTAAGAAGGGCAGGTTTAGAGGAATCGGTAGCGATAGTTGAAATACCACCAGCTACTCTGTTGTCAGTTAGTTCGTAACCGCGTGTATGACCGCCTATGTGAAACAACAAATTGCGTAATTTGCCCTTGCGGCAGACACAGTGACTGCATGAGTTCAGGTACGATATACCTGATCTCTTGTGATAATTGCGGAAATGAATATATTGGCGAAACAGGCAGACCTTTGTGTATCCGTCTAAGAAAACACCTAGATGACAAACGAAAACTAAGACAAAGTACCCCACTAGGCATGCATAGGATACAAAAGCATAGCGGAGACGGTTTTGAAGTAAAAGTCAATATCTTTGCACAGGAGACTAAAACACCAGCGCGAAAACTTCTTGAGGCTTTTTGGATAAATGCCAGAAACCCTACCATGAATAGCAGGGATTGATGTCCAGAGGTCATACGCGTCCTGACTCCGTATGTTCGCATCAATTTCTGATGTGGGATGGTGCAGTCGTCAACCATATGCGACTGTAATCAGCTGTTCTAAACTTCTTCATTGGAAGTCACGTAAAAAGCGGTGAGTTTTCGAGAAGCTGTTGATCATGTAATTACCATGGAGTTTTTCGTCTTTTTATGTGTTATTGAAGCGTTTGGCCTAGTAGATTGTACATCAGTTTACCCTTCCAGGCTCTTAAGAAGGCGATACTGCGGAAACGTCAGCTAGTGTTGTATTGTATTGTGTTTCTCTATGGAAGTAAATGTATGCTGTTTAAAACCCTCGCGACTGTTGAACAAGAAAACGACGTAAACACTTGAGGTTTTCACAAAATCAATTGCCTACCTTAAATAACTATCACCACGTTCAGTTTGAGCAATTTCTCTAAGGACACTGTCTGTGGCCGAACCAAGAAGTTTGTCAGCATTCTAGATCACTCATTTGCATGAATAACAAAGTAACAGGAAAAGGTTAAAAGATCTTAAAGTCGCTGATACCTTGTATATGTCGCCGGCAGCAATGACAATCTTTTCCCAACACTCCAGCAGTTCTGCAGCGATAACGGGCGATATATCAACAGATCCATTGATTTCAGAGGCTGTTGAGCAATACATAGAGAATTCACTTGCGGTTGATACTTCAATATTTAAGCACATCAATAAATGGCTTGAGTGCATTACAACACCAAGAAGTCATTTTCAAACAAGAAGGAAGGAGAAATTAAAGACGCAAATAAACCCATACCATCCTCGTCGTTGCTCGACTGATTAGTTGTTAATGAATGTAGCTTGCGAGAAAATGTGGACTGCGTGCTCGCAATATCTGACAGATCGATGCCGTACAAATCATTTAAAGCTGAGCATTGAACAGAGGCAGAAGGTTGCTGGTCATTTAACGATGAGTCTAAAATAATATCTTATAATGAGCATAAGGGCGAGTGTGGCGCAGTGGTTGGGGGCACCTTGCAACACACATGGGATCAATCCCCGCGTCCCTGGCCTACTAAGCCCACCATCTTTCCGGGGTCAGCAAATTGGCACCAGACTTATCTGGCAAGGATAGCAGCTCTAGTCGATACATCATTAGGCCACCGCTAGTCACTGTGAAGGCCAGATATGCATTCAGTCACATCCAACGAGGGTAATGAAGTAGTACGCGTGACGCATCCCTTAGAGATTGATCAATGCCGACATATCCTTTATCCTTTTATACTGGACACAGAAAACAGTAACTTATAAGAAATAGATGAGACATCGATGCTATGCAAAAAAACGCCAACCGAATGGTCTTGTTTGAGCTGAAGGCTGTTCCGGTTTTCCTCCATTACACGGTGGTAATGGTTCGCCAAGTAAGTCGACTTCTTTCTTTTTCGCATTCCGTCTGCCTGGCAAAAGAGAGGTAGGAATGAACGATGAGGATTGCCGTTGTTGTTTGGAAGTTAGCGATCTGAAATGCATCAGAAAAAGAAAATTCACATTTCGATCCACTGTAAACAAAACTGTTCAAAAACTTTAAAAAATGCTGGACTAAATTTTAAATATCATGAAATTCTCATCTTTAGTCGAAAAATATAACAGCATAAGGACATGTATGACCAACGTGGGAGGCTTTGCAACGTTAACTACCGGAGCAGGAAGTGACTGCTCTGCAGGAACTTGTATCGGTTGCAAAAATGGTATCGGAAGTGATGACATGGTGGAGAGAGCAACTAACGATTCGCCTTTCTATAAAATCAGCACTCTAAAGAACTGTCAGCTCTAATTCCTCTAGAATAAGGACTAAGAATAATCAAATTACCGAAGTGAAATGGTTTCTACAAACATGTAAAAGGAACACACCTGTGCTAATGCTATCAACGCTAGACAGGAAAAAAATTCTGGACGAGTCAGTTGACCAGGAAGAGTTCGATTCACAGCTGACCAAATGTATGAAAGTACCGATCTTGGTAGCCCAGATGTTACCATTAAATTATACACTAGAAGCATGAAAAGTCTTCTAAATAGAAATAGGTCAAACTATTGAAACATATTAAATGGTAGTAATTCCTACAACCGACTTCTTGTTCACCTCGACATTGATCCAACAATTCTTCATATTCCTGCTGAGCAACACGAGATGTTATTTTATTTTTTCATCTACGAACAGCTCCCAATAGTTTACCGTCTCATCGTGGCTAGAAGGTGTGCCTGGGTGTCGGACTGCGACATACATGTGGGGAATCATTCACCTGGCAAGGTCTCCCAAGTTTAGAAGAAGTTATGAGTTTCTACCAGGAAGTCCAGCTAAAAGTAAACCAATATCAAGATCCACCACCATCCTGGTATCAAAGTACTTGCAAGGCGACTGCCTGTGGTGGTTAAGACCTGGAGCAGATTTTGGCTAGCAGACCTCGGGACTCCAGAGAACCACTATAGCTAAACCAGCAAAACTGCGAAAAAGTGGAGAGCATGCTGTGACCCACACAACCAGTTAAGACGGGTCATCCAAGTATTTACGAACAAGGTGACTTTCGGCGGATTTAGCCTTCCTCAGAGCCTGGAAAGGTCAATTTGACAGCAATCTATTCGGCCAAACACCTCTATAACCAAACAGAGAAAATGCTAAACCAAGATTTCAACCACATTTAACACGGAATAGATTTCTCGTACACACACCGCTTTCTATGGGTCTTCCACTGAATACGTCACGTGGAGACCAACAGCACAGCTTCGTTATGGTGTTTGGTTGGATAGATTGTGATCGACTCGCCCTTTCCAGGCCCTGAGGAAGGCTAAATCCGCCGAAAAGTCACCTTGTTCGTAAATAGAGAAATAAAATAACACCTCCGAGTTTGCTCAACAATAATGTAAAAGACATGCGGTAGTTTTCCACTGGCAAGGAAAATTTAGCAAATTACCGCATCCTAATGGAGAATGCAAAATCTTCGTGAAAAGTACAAAAAAGTCCAACAAGCTACAAACAAGTACCTAGAGCAGTATGAGGGAGCATGCTATGTTGTGTAGCACCACATGCAGCAATCGCATCACGGTAGAACCGAGGAACTCGAGATTCATCGAGTAGAGCGGGGGGAACCACTCCTCCTCCACCACCCATCATTCCTGAATGCTTGATGACTCGTTTGAATATGACTACAGATTATGCATTTCTTAGAGATTTAAATAAAAAAGTTATAAAAAACAGCTCGTTAATCCTTAACCTGGCTTCTAGACCCTTTCAATCAAAAACCAATCCAACTTCAAAAAAAAATGGCAACCACCTTAAACAGATGACATGACGAACTCGCTATCATATCAGGATTGGAAGCGTAAGTTAACCACAACAATTTAAAAAAAAGGAAAAAATGACTAAAACGATAGGAGAAGTGCCTTGATACCATAGCTCAGAAGTTTTCTAAAAAAAACTTAGTGATTGATAAGGAAATGGATACCGCCCCAAACGAATGATTGTACAAGCAAAACCAACTATTATTTGAAACCAATTACTATTTAGTTTCCCGAAAATTAATGCAAGACTTTAACTTGCATTCTCTAAAGAGGCATTTCTCAGCTAAGAATAAGCTTTATTAGTCGAAATAGCGACTACTGGAGTTCAAGTATTTTTGTAACGAGAGACAAGTTCATCTATACCAGCTGCACAAAGACCTGGAATTCTGGAGGCGATGAAGTCATTGAAGGCATTTCTGGCCTCGGACTGCTTTCTGAAGCATTGCACTTCGCGTAAGTTATCCAGATGTTTGAAGAAGTTGTAGATGATATGTGAGAGGTTTGAGTAGTATGGTGGATGACGCAGAGTTCCGTAGCCCATCTCGTTCAATCCCGGTGCTGCATATATTGCGCGAAATGAGGCCGTGCATCGGTACTGCGACATGTTGCCAAATCGAACAGCATCCACTTGCACAACTTTCTCTACTTTCGAATAAATTTTAGATGCAACTAAGAAGTTCTGATGCTCACATCGAGTCCTTCTGGAAGTTCTCGAAGAGTTGTCAGTCTATTTTCTTCAACCAAAGCCTTCGATTCAGCATGCTCGAATAAAACCACTACTATGGACAACGACTGCGAAGGAAAGAAACGAATGACAAATGTGCTGGGATCCACACAACCCGCGAAGACGGACCGTCCAAGTTTCCAAGTAAGCAAAACCTTCGATTCACCGTCATAAACAGCAGCATGACGTTCCGACCCCTCTCATCGCCAATGAAGATTTCGTCACGACGATATCTTCCCAGCCAACGCACTCTTCATTCGTTAACATTTCCATGGCCCCATCTCACTTAAGGTTCGAGCGATTTAAACTACATACTCCCGAGCTTGGAGTCACAAAAGTAAATTTGTTGAAAGTGCGCCTTCCTAATCTCAACTTTTAACAAAAAAAAAAACACTTGACAAAAATATACATTGCATCTATCTACCACCGCCAACAGCAATCATCCGTCAGCGAGATTGATCTGGAGAGCACAAATTGGCACTGAACCCAGTTAAGCTGAGGCTGCAGTCGAAATCACAATGTTAATTTCTTATCTACTGCCTAGTACAATTTCTCACTGCAGGGCATTATGTGAGATACAACTACAATGATGCTGAGATATTGCTAAGACACATATAAGAAAGATAAACATTTAAAAACCTGCACTAATTTCTAAACAATCTAATACGAAACAAATTGATCGATATCAATCAATAGAGCTTCTAATCTGAACTGTTCCTAAAATATACGGAAATGCAGGTATCAAATGTATTATCTATCTGCAGCGTATGCCAACTAATTTTATAATCAAGAGATACCCAGCTTGTAGCCCGCCATTTATCAAGCCTTAAGAAGGTAGGAGGGCTATCAGCAAAGCACATACCTGCTCGTCCTGGTGCTGGAATTGGGATGTTACCAGTCATCATCACCTCCTCCATAATCTTGTTTTGTTGACCGTAGCCGATCGATGAATTACTTCTATTCATCGTATCATTACCTTCTTCGATCTCTCTGAAAGAAAGTAATCGAAACGTACAAAACCGGTGAAAATACCAAAAACTAGTGAAGAAATTTAAAAACACGCCTGCTGAAAGCATGCATTGCTTCAAACGTTTCTAGTTTTTATTTGGAAAAGTTCTGTACAAAAGTAAAAAGGTCTCGGCGTGGGTCAATCCCTGAGGGATGCGCGATGCATTTGACTTCATAAAGCATCGCTGGAGGTGATTGAATGCATATCTGGCCTTCACAATGACTCATGGTGGCCTACCGATGTATCGAGCCAGTGCTGCTATTCTCCTAGATAAGTCTGGTACCAATTTACCGACCCCGGATGGATGGAAGGCTTGGTGGGCCATGGGCGCAGAGATCGATTCGACGTGTGTGTGGATAGTCCGACACTTCTAACGGGAAGCCCAGCTAAGAATAAACTAATACCAAGATCCACCACTGTCCTGGTATGAAACTAGTCACATGGTGTCAAGTCTCCCGTGGATCCACAAGGGCGGTGACGGCCTGAGGTGGTGACGACCAAGGACAGACTTTGATCAGGCTGACCTCAGAACTCCAGGAAACGACTATGGCTAAACTAGCAAAACTCCGAAAAAAAATGGAAATTAAGCTGGGGCCTGCACAACCAGTGAAGATGGCCCATCCAAGTGTCCAAGTAATTAGTTACTGCTAGTGCATCCGCAGTTTTACACATGTGCACGGGAACAAAGCCGTCTTCCAACTCTAAACAAATACGTCTTCACTCGTAATAAATTTAATCAATTTAAGTAAAACCAGTAGAAGTCACGGATCTTTTCCAACACGGTGCAAGCCCTCCTTGCCGTATGAAAACGAAAATCAGACTCTCAAAGTTCATTAATCATTATTTTGCAGAGGCTTGTATCTCGAACAGTGAAGCAAATGTACACCAGTGAATTCGTCTAACTTGTGTTGAAAACTCCATAAATATCAATCATATAAAAACTTTCGCTTCAAATAAGTCAAAATCAAAAAGTAGGTAGAGCAGTGATAATGACCCCTTTCATTACACTAACGCCACAACCCACCCAGGCCCAGGTTCGACCCCAGCCGGGCCCACCAAGCTTGTAGTCCCTCCAATGTCGGGAATTTGGTACCAGACTTGTGTGGAACCTGACAACTCTCTCTGAACCATGTGAAAGCGGCTTGGCACAGCAATCTTAGGACTCTGTGGAGAATCGAAAGCATTCAACGACCTCCGGGATGAGGACGAAAAAATTCTCTAGCAGCGGTCGATACCCCAAACCAATAATTTCGAAGGCCTTGATGAATGGTGGAAGCCACGACATGAAACGCATGCAAGAATTGCTGGGACCACCCGGTGTGATACACGTGAATTTTTGCCGCAATGGAATTAAAACAAAAGTGAAAACCATGTTTTGAAGAACCATATATAGCCCTACAGCGATGGTACCATCCTCAGTAATGTTCATCTCCCGATCGCACCTAGTATTCCTGGACATATAACTGCGATCTACGGCAGGTGAAGCACCCATTAAGGGCTGAAAGGCTGACAGGCTGAGTTGAACATTTCCATCTGAAAGCCCAACTACGAATAAAGCATTGAGCAAGAATCACTGCCATCATGGCACAACAAGGTCACCAACTACCTAGTGCTGACGACCTGAGAAAGCCTAGGAAAGTACCAAAGATCTGGAGAAAGTAGACATTGAGGTGCTACAGCCTCAAGCAGTTTTCCTGGATGTAAAGCATCCATGTATTCACCTGTGAGCAAATGCAATATGTTTTTTACAACTCCGTGATGTTTCCGATCCACGAGTTGCGCTAGCTATCATAAACCGGAATCGTCGCGAATGCGATGACAAAGAACTATCTCGCCGATGACAACACAACCACAACTCGAGGTATCGATTACCCCATAACACTGACAAGTCAGAGCAGTAGTAACTTCTATCAGAATCAAAAATACTATAGAAAATGTACCAAAAGTTTCAAATTCTTATACGTTATATCGTATTGGATGTGTGTAGCTCAGTGATCGGAGACGCCGTGCAATACACACGGGATCGATTCCCTTGCCTTAAGCTCATCAAGCTCTCCATCCGGTCGGGGTCGGCAAATTGGTTCCAGGCTTGTCTTGAAGGGTAGCAGCACTGGGTGGATCTATCGAGAGACCACGGCGAGTCATTGTAAGAGCCAGACATGCATTCAATCGCCTCCACTGATGCCTAGTGAAGTCGAATGTATGGATCATCCCTCAGGAATTGATCAACGTTGAGATCTTTATCCTTTATCCTTTTATACCGTATCTGCCTAGCAATGAACTCAGTGTAGACCAAGTTTGTTGTCAGAATATCACCAAATTTATGGAACAACACCGAAATCGAAATAACCATTCACAGTGGAATGATACCAAACATTTTCATGCACTCAGTCCACAAGAAAAACAAGATACAGAAAAGTAATTTTATTCATAGTAGAATAAAACTATTAACTCCAAATGTATAATACGCAGCGATATTATGTGAGAAAGCAGTCAGATGCCACTAACGTTCTTTACAAGTTTTCACTGGACTGTTAGAGAGCTTAAGATATGGAACAAGGGCTGCAGACGCATTGACACTAGGGTAAAGTTCAAGTTGACAACACTTGTCAAGCACAAAACGAAAACAGTGAAGTGAAAAAGAATCGCGATACAACAAACATCAGCATGGACATACTCGATTCAGAAAAGGACAGAAACACCTAACTTTTCTTGCAGATCCATATTTACGATGTTCCAAGAATAAGAGCCACTATCATGCCGTAGAGACCAAGCACCTGAAAACAGAAACTCGAATGAGTTGGCGGATACTCGGGAATATTTGGTTAAGATGACGCAAGCGATTATACTTGAATATCCAAAATATCGAATATCTCACAACTGAGAATGAAAGTCTCCAGCTCACCTCAGAAAAGATAAGAATGAGGATCATTCCCACAAAAAGACGAGGTTGTTGAGCGGTCCCACGAACTCCAGCATCTCCGACAATTCCGATGGCATATCCAGCACCGAGACCACACAAGCCGCAAGTAAGACCGGCAGCGAGATGGGCAAATCCTTTGTTGAGGGTATAACCCTCACTGGCAGCAGTTACCTTGCCTTTGAGAACCATTGCCACGACTAGGCCGTAAATACCAATAATACCAGCCATAATAACGGGAATCACCGACTTCATGATTAGTTCTGGTCGCATCACTCCCATGGAGCAGATGCCTACAGCCGATTTCGCAGTACCGTACGCAGCACCCAGAACAGTGAAGATCTGAATTGATATGAAAACAATGTGTTTCCTGATAATGACTTATTAGAAATACTACCAAGACCAGCATCGCTACTTTTCTCAAAAACCTATCTAGAAACAATAGCGCGCTCATGCAAATTCGGAAGAAAAAATTGAAAAGATGCATTCGATAACAATTTTAAGAACCTTTTCACTGTGCATAATTTCAGAACGACCTGATTCACGAGTGCAGAAACTACATGGTTTGAAATACAACCATAATGATGCTGAGATAACTGGAAAACTCCGGACCGCAAGTGTCTACAGTGGGGATCGAGTACACTATTACTCCTACAGGGGGCGAACGCGTTCACCGTCACACCGTGCAGGTCCTTCGTATCGCCTTTCTCTCAGGCCTGAGTTGGTAATCGTGCTTTGGAACAAGTCACAGAATAACAGGAAACTAATGGGGAACTGATACCTGAGCTGAGGCGGCTCCCATGTACCCAAAAAAAGGGGCGTACGCTGGCTGTTCTGCAGTTGTGAGGTCATACGACATCCTGGAAGAAAAACTTATATATCGAACGATAATATCGAAACATCATAAAGTACGCTTAGGCGGTAATAAACACACTAAAATAACGAAAATAATATCCGATTGGAAGAAATTTATTCACAAAAATACAATTGAGAACGAAAATTTGCAACAAACTAGCGCTGCAATGAAGATGTTTACAACAAAATAATTATCAGAAACCACATAAAACTTCATATGTTTGTTACAAAAGTACAAATACAGACGTTTCGAAGGATGGTTTATGCAGTACCCAAGATCAACGCCACAATCATTCCATACAAACCAAGAACTTCAGCGAAAATCAACATAAGGATCATACCAACGAATATACGCGGTTGTTGTGAGAGGGCTCTCACTCCGGCGTCTCCGGCTATTCCAATGGCATATCCAGCTGCCAAACCACATAATCCGCATACAAGGCCACCGGCAAACTGTGCAAATGCCTGATTCACTGTGTAGTCTGGGCCGCCGGGAGCAACTTTCCCGGAAACGATCACGGACACTACCAGGCCGTAGATGGCGACGATACCGGCCATAACCACAGGAATGATGGCTTTCATCACGAGATCGGGTCTAGCTACAGCCATAGAGGCGATTCCGGTACCTGATTTCGCTGTTCCGTACGCGGATCCGGCTGCGGTGAACATCATCGCGCTCGTTACACCAAGAGTACCGAAGAATGGCCCATACATTGCTTGTTCGGCCTTCAGAAGGTCGGCACTGGTAGCCGAAGCCACCTCCATGTCCTGCAATCAGTTCACATGACAAGGCAAATCAGGATAAATATAGTGCTGACCTTGAGCAAGTAAGAAGTAAAATCTATCACAACATCAATCGATGATCTTCACAATGCTCTATTGTTTATGGGGAAATCTAGCCATACATTCCTTACACTACGATTAGAGATTTTGAAAAAATCAATAATATTTTTATACCAGAGACCAGATCCTAGTGAAGTAACCGGTTCCGAACGAATTTATCTTCAGCAAGTAGTCGACCTGCAAACTAGCGGGCAACAATACTAGAGATCTTAGCAGTCTTTATTATTCCTGAACTAACGGGCTATCCAGAAAAGGACTGGATTTGAAGCAGAGCTTTGAAGACAATCTCTGACGAATCTGGAACAAAATGGGCAAAAACAGAAAAGGACATCATCGGTGAAACGTTGCTGGAGTTCCTCATAACACGGAGCTACCCATTGATTACAAGCCCGTAGGTATTGACGGACGCAAAATCGATATGAGACAACACGGTTAGCTACTAGACGCACTCGTGAAAGATGGCTCGGAGAGATATAAATGATGATGTTCAGACCGTAGAATGAGATGAAGGAAGGAATTGAGTAGTGAAAACAGCAGAATAAACAGGATTACAGTTACGTGCTTGTGTGGGTGTTACATTGACCGAAAACCGAAGAGCATTATGGTAAACATGTCGTCGAATATGGACGTAACCAGCCAACAAAACATTTAATATGACGCCTAATTTTCTTTAAAGCGCTGGTTCAAGGCCTGTGAAAATTCTTGGTATTTGAGCTAGGTTCAGGAACGCTCAGAGCAGGATCCGAAGTCCGGATGTGAGATAACTAGTATAGGTTAGTAATGGTCCAGTTTTAAGCGTGTTCTCTTTCTTAGTCTTTATGCATTTTTCAGCTCTTGTACTTTTCTTAAACCTCGATATGGGTAATCAATGTCTGCCTGAATTGTTGAGCTTACAAGAGGTTAGTAAGTTTTGTCCGGCTAACGTTTTGATGTCTTTGTCGTCTTCAGAGCTGTTGATCCGATTCGATGTCGACCGGCTCAGAGGAGGACGAAGATATCCGAACATTAGCCCAGGGAAGGCTATTTATCAACCTCATGTAAGCACAACATTTTAAATCTATAAGGTAACAGCTTTTCTTAAGTGGATCCAATTGAATAGTGTTTTCAGTATCCGTACCAGATCTTCTAATATGTTTAGAATTAGGCCTGTTGTTTTTGTTTTAGCTTTATACATATATGGGTATTCCTCGAGTTTATCAACGAGTACTGCTTCCTATATTGCTCATCAATGCTTTGCTTTTCGTCTATCTGCTCAGTGTGAATGGTCCATTTAGTGAGAGGTATGTGTCTGTGGGTTTTTTCAGTTACTGTAATCTTACCTCTTTTTCAGTTATGACTATATTCCTTTACCAACCGCTGCACCTCCCCATAAGCTGTGCGTAATCGGTAGGTAATTGTTTCATGTTTAAAGCTTTTTTTGGCAAGTTTCGTTAAGAGTTTCTTCTTTCTTTTGAATGAAGAGGTCTACCGCTGTGTGTGCCCCATCCAGTATCTTCTGTAGTTTCTTAGATCATTTGTGTATACTTCTATTCATGCTTACATGGATACTTGGATGGCCCGTCTTCAGTGGTTGTGCTGGTCCCAGTACAATTTCCTTTTTCTCGGAGTTTTGCTGATTTAGCTACTTTGGTTCACTAAAGTCCCGAAGTCGTCCTAGCCATAGTCTGTCCCAGGTCGTCACCACCACAGGCAGTCGCCGCCCTTGTGGATCAGAGGGAGATTTCCCACTTTGCGACTAGTTTGATACCGGGACGATGGTGGATCCTGGTAATTGTTTACGCTTAGCTGGACTTCCTGGTGGAAGTGTCGAACTCCTTCTTGGATTGGGAGGTCCTGCTGGGCTGGTCGGGGCGGAGGGGTGGGGGGCGGATAAATCCTCGCTATGTGTAGCAGCGCGACACCCAGGAACACCTCTATACCACGATGAGGCGATAAACCGTTAGGAGATACTTCTATTTATTGGTTGTTTGTATAATGTGCCATTTTTAATTTGAAGCTATGCTGAAAGGTCAGCAAGAGAAATTTCACAGATGATTGTCTAGAAACAACATTTTTGTTCTGAACTGTGCTTTTTCATTCTAGGTGCTACCTCATTTAGTCTCATTCTTTTACTTGGAAAGATGTCGTAGCTATGGAAAGCGTGCGTATAGTGTTAAGGACTGAGCAATATGTTCTTTTCAAGGAATCATGATCATTTGTGGTTCTTGAAACTTATCATGGGAGACGTTTTAGTGCCATTTCGTGATCGAGATGAGGAATTGTCAGAGTTTGCTCCTCACATCGACAAATTCCTCCGAGAGCAAGGGATTGAATACTACCTTTTATTGATGAATCAAACTGATGATTTGCGGTTCAATCGAGCATCTCTTATCAATGCAAGTTCTTCTTCGATTTCTTTTAAAGGCCTACTGCAACGGTTAGACTAGACTCTTGAACATCATAGATTCTACTTAGAGTTGTTTATTACAGGTCGGGTGGTTAGAATCTGATCGTGTTGGCTGTGATTATATGGTCATGCATGATGTGGACCTATTACCTCTAAACTCGGAAATCAGTTATCATTTTCCTGGTGAAGGAGTTATAAGGCACATATCATCTCCGTCGTATCATCCGAAGTAAGGTGGTTCCCAATCTTGGACGTTATGCGTTTGCTCTGGATTTCTTTCGTGATCTTCTACTTTCGCGACTTTTACTTATCTATGCATTTGTAGATATAGTTATTCAAAATTTATTGGAGGAATACTGATGTTGACAATGAATGATTACAAAACTCTCAATGGAATGTCAAATAAATACTGGGGATGGGGACTTGAAGATGACGAGTTCTTCCTGAGGATCAAGTAATTTTCCGCTTCTAGCTCTTATAAAACTTATTTTATCAGGTCGTCTGACTCCAATTAATTCGTCGAAAGGAATATTTTTTAAGGGATGCTGCTTTAAATCTAACAAGGGTGGAGAATCTCTCGAGCAATCGATTAAATACTTTCCGACACCTTCACGGACCTAAAAGGAAACGTGATTATGCCGTCGTAACGAAGGAACAGAAGTCTATGAAGAAAAGAAGAGATTATGTCAGTTAGTGCACTTTTCTATCGTGAAAGTCAATCTCATTACGATATTTTTATCTCTTAACAGATATCTGGTCTCAATAATGTAAGCTACAACATCACGGCGCGGCGCATCCGTTCTTTTGGTGAAGCATCTGTTCATGTTGTAGATGTACAGTTGTTCTGTGACATGAGCTGGACACCATACTGTAAACTTCCTTCTCATCGTTGACAACGAAGCTGGTGAACTGCATTGGAATAGTATCACATACCAAGATCTGAACTCTGCCTAAACTTTGTGGAATATCTGAGCGTTAGCTTTCGTTAATGTCTCAGAGTTTCTGGCGTTCATACTTCTTCCAAAGTTTGCCGCAATGAGGTATATGTTAATCTAAGCTGAGACAGCACATTTATTAAGCATTAATATGTGGTTTTGAACTAGGAATTCTTGAGTTCTTACGGAATTTTGCTTTGACTGCATTGGGGTTCTGGTACATTTTTTCAAATTTCGGTATACCCATTGGGAAGCATACCATCATCCATGTACTATTTAATGATTAGCAACTACTTGTTAATTGATTGTTGGCGTTTTTTATTGCTTCTAATAACTTTTGGTAATCTCCACTAGTATTGTTTGTTTTTTCTATAGAGCAGTATTCTTTATTGTGATATTTTTGCAGATTTTCGCTTTTTTCCGTTGATTTTTTAAGTGCAAAGTAAGTAGAAGGCGTCAAGAACTTGACTATCTTGCTCATTTTCTTTCGTGCAGCTCATTGTCAAAGCTGTTAATGTGATTGCTGCTCCAGATCTGCCTGTGATACTCTGAAATATTAGCGACATAGTGCTTTTAGTTTTATGTTTACTACTTAATTCTATACAAATTTCTGTTGGGTAGCTTTTGATATCTGTTCGGTGATTCCGAAGTGGTCACTACCACGTCGAATTGCTTTATTACTGTCTACCGTAATGACAAACGGTTTACTTGGATGACATATGTGTACTGGTAAGTTTATTAGTCGACCATCATCCGCAATGGTCTCTATTAGAACAACTGTGCAGTGACAATCCTTAACCTTGGTTTTGTCGCTGGTCATCTTTACAACCGGTAGGACGTTCACGAGAGATAGATATAGTCTTGTTTAAGTTACAGAATACGACTAAGATCCGGTTTTTGAGGTTTTATTCAAGTAGTTGACTTCCCAATATCCTGAAATGTCACTTGTTTCGTTTTTTACATACACTGTTGCATTTAACATGATTAATAAAAGTTAATGGTGCCGAAAATATAGGAGGAGAAGAATTAGAACACATTGATCAAACCTTAAATGGTTTGTTAAACAAGTTAGACTTAAACGCCGAGTTAACCTTTCTTCAGTGATGGTTGATGTTGAGTCCATTGCACGTGACTAGAACCGAAAATAGTGGCCATTTGGAACAAGGTGATTTATAAGTGTCTATTGGATATCGTGAAAACCGATTTGGATCGGACCTCGGTAACAATAATCAATAATTTTCTAGATGACTGAGATAATCCGACGTTGGTGCAAAACTTCTTCTCGGTTGACGTTGCTCCTTCGCCCTCTTATGAAGCATATTGGTCCGATTCTACGGTTCCAAGGTAGAAGTTGTCATGATTTGAGTAGTCGCATCGAATCGAATCCAGTTGATAGTTGAGTGACCCGAGCAAGCGCCAATAACCATTCCATCTCCCCTGTCGTGTGCAAGAGTATCCCAGTGAGTTCTGTTCGCTTCAGGACTCGTTGAGCATCATGTCTTTCTTCTAGGGTTTTCGTGAAGAGCTCCAATAATCGCGTCGATGATCTTTCTGCAGTGTGTTTTTGAAATCTCGACGAATTTAGTTCGCTTCTTTTCCATCGGTTGTGGTTCACACGCATTGCACCTTATTTTCTACATTTCGACATAAAGAACGGCATCTTCGATTTTTGTCCTTTCGTCACTTAAGTGGTAGGGCACACTACTAGCATCATCCTTTCGACCGCGCATTCTATAACGCTGAGATATCTTTCACTCTGCCTAAGTATTGGCCAGGTTCTGACGCTTATCTTAAGGCAGAAAGAATCGTGAAGTCGAAAAGATGTGCACAGAATTGGGTGTTCTTTGTTCTTTTCACTACATCCTCGATGCTGTTGAAGGATCCTCCGATCCTTTCCTTCTACTCAATTGCAAAACTAGGTCGTTCATCATGTTGATTTCCCGACCTACGTAGAAGTGGCTGCAACATTCGGAATACCTATTCCGTTGAGCGTGAATGGAGCATGGGTAACAAATCCGTTCTTCGTGAACATCGTTCTTGCGAAAGTTAGAAGAAAATTATCCTTTGTACAGGCATTATCAAAGTCAGCAATCGTTTATTCCTCCCAGCTAATGCTCTTACTGCTCTCTTGGCTTTATAAGAGCGATATCGCCAGCAAAGTGAGGATAGTGAAACTCCTAATCAGGAATTTTCACTCCCATGTTGTCCCATTCTAGTTTTCGCTTAGCGTTCTCAGGGGTGGCGGTAAATGTTTTTAGCGAGATGGTATCGCCTTGCCGAACGACTTCTTTGACGTCAGTGTTAATATCGCGGTAGAATGGTGATATCTTGGTTGTGAAGTTCATATCCACGACTTCCATGACTGTTTCTATTTCACTGAGTCACAAGCACAAGATTGCTGAGATATTTGCAAAGCTCTTGACCGCAGGTGTCTGCGGTGAGGAACGAACGCGATATTGTCCTTTCCGGGGAGTAACGCGTTCACCACCACACCATGCGGGTCCTTCGTTTCCCCTGTCTCTCAGCTAGTGCTATCGATCTTTTGCCATCAGCAATCACCCGTCAGCCAGATTGATCTGTATACATGGACACGCCTTTGTAAATACAAAAAGTATGCGCCAAATCGGCGCAGCGAAAACAAGGAGCCCATTTCCTGGATCCACATGCGTCTCAGGCAAGCATAAAGTCGCTCTTAGTTCGCGCTCATCCCTTGATCCGCCACTTAGCGACACGCCATGTTGCCTCAGGACTAATCGGCATGAGTCCTAATCCTGGGGGACTAATCCTCTACGATGAAGATCCGCGGAGATACGTAATGCTTAATTAAAATGTAGGCTGAATTACTACAGTTGTTCATCACCGCTCAAAATAACCAAAACTAGCCTGTTTGCAATAGCTGTAGTTGCAATAGAATGAACTGATTGCTGGTCAGCACATTTCCCTGCGAAATCGGTTACACCTAGGGACGGCATATGAACGTTAAGCAACGGCGTTAAAGTAAAAAGGAAGAATAGAGAAGCGCTTGCTGTCTGCAGAAAGATTGGATAGCGGGTTGGTGGTCATTCTAAATTGCCAACTGGTCATCTTAACTGTGGTGCATGGTTTCATGCAGTATCCGAGTTAGAATGCATCTACCACGGTCTTATTCTTACTAAACTGAATTTTTATTTAACTTATCACTTTAACTTGTAGAAGTTCCCACGACCAGCTTTCTATTAACCTCGACATTGATCAAATAGTTTTCGATATTCTTGTCGAGCAAACACGTGGTGTTACGTCATTCTTCATTCCGTTAAAGCTGACGTTTCCGTCAGTATCGCCTCGCCTTCAGAATCGCATATGGTCAATTTATCGACTCTTGAATGTCGAGAATTACCACTTTAATTTAGCAATTCACTATTTCGAAATTTACGCCTACTGAAAAGCCATCTGATCGATGTGAAACAGTAGGCATCCAGATCAGGTCTAATGCTTGGATTGTATTAGCTCTGTTAGTATGCGAAATATTGGTGTCTCGTTCAAGCTTGAGCGTACTAAATTTTAGGATGACTATTCTACCTCATAGGCTGGCATAGAGGGGCGCGTGTGGCGCAGTGGTTGGAGGCGTTCTGCAACACACATGAAATCGTTTCCTGCACTCGTAGCTCACCAAGCCTTCCATCTCTCTGCGGGTCGGCAAATTGGTACCAGACTCGTCTGGGAGGATAGCAACACTGTCTCGATACATCGGTAGGCCACTGCAAGTCATTGTAAAGGCTGGAAATGCATTCAATCACCTCTTAACGATGCTTAATGAAGTCTAACGCGTGGTGCATCCGTCATGGGTTGATCAACGCCGAGAACTTTATCCTAAAAGGATCCTCGTTTCTTAAAAGCTTTAAAGTTATCTTAAAAGCTAAAGCTTCAAAAGCTGCCTAACTTAAGGAGAAGGACACACTGCCTTACGTCTATCCATCCATAATCCCTTTCGTCAATGAAGAACCTAACCAGTTACGAATAAACTTCTCGATACCACGGGCCATAGCCGCTCGGTTGACCCGCTTCTGTGTCAAATTTCATAAATAACATTTTGGTATAGTTCTATTTGTTTACTGCTTTTGTCAAGGACGTAGCCATGGCTACCTCATTTGGTTCTACTGAGTGGGTTACGCAAAGACATATGCTTACTGTTAGTTGGATTCCTGGATGGAAATGCCTTTTCAGCTTGGATAATCGAATTGTGGCGATCTCATTTACATCATAGTGTGATATCCGAGAACGTTTTCGTTCACAGTGCGACAACAAACCATTGATAGGCAACATTGATAAAGCACTCAGCGTTGATCAATTCCTGATGGATGCGCCATGTATTCGACTTCACTAAGCATCGTTAGAGGTGATTGAATGCACATCTGCCCTATACAATGACCCCCGATGACGCGACACCGGTATATCGCGGAATCGATGCTATCCTCTCAGGCAGATGTGGTACCAATTTGCTACACTGGAGGGGAGAAAGGCTTGGTTGGCCTAAGGTGCAGGATCGATCCCATGTGCATTGCGGGGCGCCTGTAACCACTGCGCTACACGCGCGGGACAAATAACAAAGCAAAATTTTAGATGTAGAGATTTTTGTGACGTAAGGCTATTAGCTGTGCTATCTTGAAGGATCAGGAAGATGCCTAAGGTGCTGATCAAGATATGGACACCCAAGAACTGATATCACCTGCAATTCCATTGATTTTGAACAAGTATCAGAAATATTTATTCATTCTTAAAGCGTCGCCGCTGCCACTCAGTGGATTTCGCTCTTTTGGGGCACGAAAAGCTCTACATTCCGTACTAAGCAATTCGACTGTAACAGTTTTATGTGGGAGGGTTACTATATGTTGATTTAGAAACTACTCCATCATGGGTTAGGATCTCGATTTACACGCGGGTAATACTTTAGGGTTAGGAGGCGAGTAAGCACGTGGTTT